TCCTCCTCCTCCTCCTCCTCCTCCTCCTCCTCCTAGTGAAATCATAAAGCCCATCTCCGAGCTGGGAGGCTGCAGAACCTTCAGCTCGAGATGACATCCTGACAGACAGAGAGGACTGTCTTCTATCAAACCCCTTTTAATCTGTCTGTCTGTCTGTCTGTCTGTCTGTCTGTCTGTCTGTCTGTCTGTCTGTCTGTCTGTCTGTACATGCTGTTGACAGTGAGGTAGAAATGGACCAAATTCTCTGGTCCTCTCTGTAACTCCGGAGATGGATTCAACACAAGCAGATGAAGGTATTTCTCCCTTTGCTGTGTCCTTAACATGGTGCATGTGTGTGTTTGTGTGTTTGTGTGTGTGTGTGTCAGCCTCCTCTGCAGCAGCCAGTTGTGAGGGCTGCACTTGTTGAGTAAATGTGGCTCTTTACCTGTCAGCTCTGCCATCGTGCGAGGCTGAACAGCTGCTTCGGGTTTGTCACAGTGTCCTTCTCAGGTCAGTCCCTGCTGCCAACTTCAAGAATTTGTGCTGAATGAAGCTGCATGGGAACAGTCGCCAGGACAGCCTACATTTATAATACATTAATAACCCTTAGACTTAGTGTGTGCTATCAATGTTTCAACAGACGCAGCAGAAAACAGCTGTGCAAGAATTCACTGGTCAGAGAAGCTGAGAGGCAGTGAGCAAATGGAGCATTATGGAGGTTAACTTGTTCAATGTAAAAATAAAATCCTGTGCTCCGGGTTATCACTGGTACCACAGTTGGTTTGAAGTACTGAAGGTGCTGATGTTTGTCTCTGTGGCACAGGGCGGGCCCAAGGTTATATTGGACTCTAAGCAGAATTATTGCTGCCATGATTGTTGTTTCATGGTTGTTGTTAGAATTTTTCTGTTTCATTGTTTGGTCATCTTGTCTTATTTCCTGTGTAGAGGTAACCCTGGTGAAAAAAACTTTTCTATTGTTTATTTTCTTTGTCTTTGATTTTATTTTTTACACTTATAAGAAGAAAATCATTTTNTCACAGAATTTAATGGAAAGTAATTAACTGAAGCCTACAACCAATTAGACAACACAGTTCAAAATGGCTGCCACTACCCATAGCAACCCAAAAATGACTATAAATTAATAAATTTTTCCAACATTGAGCTAAACACTTATATGGTGTGCTAGCTGAATGCACCAGATCATTCATTTAAACCTACTCTGTTTGTTTGTTAGCAAAATATTTTGTTGTCCATTGAGTATTTTACAATGAAATTTTCAGAAAGTCGTCAATAGACGTACAAATGGATGTAACTTTTAGAGTCAAGATGGCCGCTGCTACAGCTAATAAAACTCAGCAAACACACATGCTTGCTTATAAATGAGCCTGTTTGGCAGATTTTTAACTAAAGTGTGAGCGTTATCCCCAACATAAGCAGCACACATTCAAGACCATTGCTTAAAATGTTTCTATTAATTTATGTATAACCCTGGCTTTCTGTTAATAAAATATCTGCTGTGTGGAAGAATTTTAATACAGCTAAGACTCAAGAAGACATTGATACGTCTTCACTCACTTCTCACTTTTTCATTCTGATCTAATCTGATGTGGATTCAATCAATTTGTTTTTGTGCCATCTTACTTTATACTCCATCCCCAATGAACTTATATTTGCCAAGAAGTTTTAAAATACAGAAAATATGAACCTAACAGTAAACCAAAAAGTTATAACGTTAAAAATAACAGCTAAACAAATGTCTACATTTATTTAAAAAAAAATTCAAGCAACTTCTTGGCAACATCCTTGCAATGAAACAAACGTTTGGTTGTTTTACAGTATAGACCTAAAGGAAGCTTTGTAGGTTCCTGGGAGCTAATTTTAGCTGGAGAGAAGCAGGACCTGTGAAGGACAAACGTTTTGGACCCCTTCAGGGGATCCAAGCCCTTATTCAAGATGCAGCCAGAGGAAGACAGGTAGGAAGGAGAGTTAGAGACAAATGAGAAAGACTGATCCACCTAACACAAGAGTTCTCATTAAAAAAAACAAAAACAAAAAAAAAACAAAGTCTGTCATTCAGACTATATGAATTTTATTTTGTTGGCTTACAAAAAATAAACAAAAAAAGCAAAAATGTCTTAAAAAATAAAAACAAAACAGTTTCTGCAGAATGAACATTTTTGGCTCAGACCAACAGCAAAACCAAGGAGGGTTTTTTTTTAAATGTTACCAGGAGAATCTTGAACATTTCTTTATGTCCAGTGGAGGACACTTTTTAAATGGGCCAGTCAAGAATAACTAGCCTGCTGCAATCTGAACCACCTGACATCTTAAGTGTCACATATTTTAGTTTCTTATTTACTTCTTGGAACTTGTGGGATTAAATGTTCATAAATGATTTAGATGCTGCTGCTGTTTTAGCTGCTTTCTGCAATCTAACTGTACAATTCTTATGAGCTGCTCCTAATTTCATTTAATTGATTTTGAGTGACATAAACATGTTTTATTAATATGACTGATAAATCTGTACATGGAAAAAATGAAAGCAATAAAAAAAAAGGTCTATAAACACACACATGTATGAGGGGCCCTTTAGGCCATAATGCAAACTTGCTCTCACATATACACACACACACAAATTACCAGTTTGTGTGTGAATCCTACTCTCTGCAGTCAGTTTTCTTCTCTGCATCACACAGTTTCAGCTGCAGTTTCTTTCAGCACAAACACAAAAGCTGACACAGTGGCTGATGTGGTCTTCACAGCCCTGTTAAAGCTGTTTATAGTTCATGATGTATCATTGTAAACCTTTTTCCAACTCAACTGTGACTTACAGTTGTGGTCAAAAGTTTACATACACTTGTAAAAAAACATAATGTTATGGCTGTCTTGAGTTT